ATGAAATTTATCCTCAGAAGTATAATAAACACCTATAGAAGTGGAATATTAGCCTCTGCTCCTCTTTCTATCCTTATTTATTTTTTATATTTGAATGGATTTTGACTGGACTATGCAGTACGTCGTTACCTGGAGTCACCCTGTATCTCAGCAGGATTCCAGATCCTGCCTCACCGTCTGCACTTTGAAGGTAGATTGTCAACTAAACTGGAAACCACATCCAAATACTCTTCCCTTTCTTCCCCAACATAGTGGAGTTGCCTCAGGTGGCAACAGCAGATCTGCCACACCCTGCCTTGCAACAGAGGCAGAAGAAGCATTAGTGAATCTGCTAGAGGAAAAAAGCCAAGGGAGGAAGAGTGTAGGTGGCCTGGAGATAGGCAAAATCCAGAAGTGGAGAGGCCTTAAACTTAAGACCTTTGCCTCTCCTACACCAGGCTGGATGAATCACCCCATCGGGGGAGGCAAAACCATAGCCTGCAAAGAAGAGGGGAAACTTAGCTCCCCAAACCTGAGGAAGCAGACACTCACACTCACCTGCAGGTTGATGCTAACTGTGTGAGACAGTCCTCTGAGAGGCTGCTCCCCACACCCATTTTTTTTTCAGGCGTCCTCGTGAAGTCAGTGACCAGACTCTCCAGGCTCTGAAGAGAGCAGGAGTGGCCTTTACTCATGGCCGCTCCTGCACTAATTTAAAAGCGCTTCCCCCAAATCAGTGTCCCACCCTACATTCTCCTGAGTAGAGCAGTCCATCAAGCTCCCCAGAGATGATGCAAACCACTTGGATGAAGGCATAGAACTTCTCCAACTAATGCATGCCAGCAACATCATATTGCCCTATTTGAGCAAATGAAATATCACACACGTTATTGCATTCTCCGGGAATTATGAAAATCATCAAAATGCCCTTTAGCTTGGAGACTGAGGTGAAGAAAGTAAAATCTAGGAACTTGAGAGATAGTAGTTAAGAATACTAGCTGCGGGCTGGAGAGATGGCTCGGAGGTTAAGAGCACTGGCTGCTCTTCCACAGGTCCTGAGTTCAATTCCCAGCAACCACATGGTGGCTCACAACCATCTGTAATAAGATCTGGTGCCCTCTTCTGGCCTGCAGGCACACACACAGACAGAACACTGTATATATACTAAATAAGTAAACCTTTAAAAAAAAAAAAGAAGAAGAACAGTAACTGCTCTTGCTGAGGACCCAGGTTCAATTCCCAGTATCCGCACCTGTATTGTACCTCACAACTGCCTATAACACCAGTTCCAAGGGATCTAATACTCTTCTTAGGCTTCTGCTCGTAGAAGGCACACATATTGTGCATAGACTTAAATGGCCATACAAATAAAAATAATAATAAATAGGAAATTAAAGTCTAAATCAATTTCCCGCTCATGCCTTTAGAGTCAGTTAAAGGCATCGCTTGGCAGTGGTGGTGGAGCATGACACCCCTGAGGGTTCCTGTTCATGGAAGGAGCTGGAAGCAAGCCCCTGCTGTGAGGTAGTCAGCAGTCTGCTGTCTCATTCTGGCTATAGCCTGTCTTGCTGTTCTTTGGCTCTCTTCTAAGCTGCTGGCCTCTTAAAACCAAAATAAAGCCCTCTCAGAGGTGTCTCTTTACCTATCTGGAGGTAAGACTTTAACCAGCCCTAGGAATCACCCTGGTTCCTCCCACATTATGGAGTCTCTGAAGAAACGAAGCAGTTCCTCTGTTGCCTGAGTGTTTCTCAACAGGAGGCCTAGGCCTACAGAACCACTACATCATTCAGAAGGCCAAGCACCCGCGAGACTGATACTCTCCAGGCTAGGCCGGAGGCACGGGATTTCTCTCTTAGAGAGACAGGGGAGATGGGATGGTGGGCTGGAGAAAAAACTTTTAGTTAATTGATTAATTTTATTTCTTATTCGTGTGTGTGTGTGTGTGTGTGTGTGTGTGTGTGTGTGTGTGTGTGATGTATGGTGTATGTGTGGGTGGTATTGAAAGAGCCCCGGAGTGGGGAGACTCTCACTCAAGTCTCGGGATAACATGACCCTGCAAGAACTCACAAGAGACTGTCCTTGCTGCAAGCACACAAGGTTTATTGACAGAAACCAGCATGCTGGGGCCAAAACTCATTTCCCACGCAGGGGTAGAGGAGTTCGACCCTGAGTAGCTGGGAGAGGGGGTATTTAGGGGAAGAAACCACAGCCCAAAGTGGGTAGGGAGGGCATCATTGGAAAATTCTGAAAATACCAGTGATAATCACAAGGGGGTAACTCCCCATTTCTTAAGATTATTCTCAAGATTATAATCTAACTTTATGGTCAGCTAGTTCCTGGAACAGAGTCACGAAACCAGCTAACCTAGATTTTTGGTTCTTCTCTCCCTGATAGATTTTTGGCTCTATTCTTTCTGCTAGAGGGGTCTGGATTTATCCGGGTCTTTCAGCATATGCGGGATATATGCCCATAGTCTATGCATCTGGATGTCAGAGGACTATGAGTTTCTTCTTGCCGAGAGGCAGGATCTCTCACTGAAGCATAAGCTAGGTTGGCTGATGTTACCAGCAGAGGAGGGGGCTTCAGCTGCAGATTCTTTTGCGAGTATGGCTATGAGGACTCTGGGCCCTTCTCCCCAGAGAGTGACGAGTAACCAGACCAAGCAAGAGAATTGTCTTTATAATGCTTTACTAGCAACTTCAATATCCAATGTATCCATGGGGTTTATAATCTTAATAGGCATGGGAGACTTTTGATGGGCAACACACAGGCAATTCAATATCACAGTTATCAATCCTACTAATCCTAATACATAAAACCAATTCATAACCTTAATTTTGACTTATCACTTATCTATAAAACATTTTTTAACCTTAATACAACTTATCCATTACCTATAAAACACTTCTTAACCTTAATACAACTTATCCATTAACATTTCCTAATCTTATCAATTATCCACAAGATATCTCTTAACATTTCACACACTAAACATATGTATTGACACATCTATGCTCTTCTCTTAACATCTCATACACACATTAAATAGCATCATACGACCTGGTATTCTTCAGTTTAAAAGGATTTTTTTGGATTTCTTCAGGCTGGACACCTGACAGCCCTGGGGGCTTGACAGCGAGGCTAGACTCTTGACCCTGTAGTCTGTGTTCAGGAGATAAGGCACTCGATGTCCTGCTCTCTCAGGCTGGTATCGGGTGCTGGATCAAATCTTGACCGCGTAGTCTGTGGTCTGGTGCTAGTCTATCTCAGAATGCAGGGCCTTGGACTCTGCTTTTTGGGTGACTGAGTCTCAGGAGACAAGGCTTTAGTTCTCTGCTCTCAAGATGGCAAAGCGTTCTGTCGGCTCTCGAGTCAGGAGGTGAAGCTCTGCTCTCAGGATGGCAAAGCATTACATGTTTAGGCAAGGCACTAAATGTTTCTGCTTTTCAGGAGGCAGGCTTGAGGATCTCTTTCTACGAGGCTCAGTGCCCAGGCCATCGTAAGAAGTGAAATAACTGCCCTGTTTCTGTCCTCTCTTTTTATGCCAGTTTGAAACTGTCTCTTGTTTGATCCTTCTGATAACCAGATGACCTAGGTTATCAGTATCGACTGGCTACAAAAGGGTGGGGGGTCCTTCTCGTGTGGGGCAAGATTACATCGTTACCAAGGTTGCTGGGTGCAGCCTCCCCATCTGTCAGGGACAGATGGGCGTGGCAGCCTTCAAGTGGGCAAAATGTTCTCTTAATATTTCACCACACACAAGAAGAAATGCTTTTACACTACACCAAGTTGCATTCATTCTTATCCTATAAATTTCCTGCTCTATCTACACTATAGATTCCCTTTATTTATTCATTCAGAGGAATCTGTTTCCATACTCATTACAGCGGCCCTCCCGCCTCAGCTTCTCACATACCTAAGACTTTAGGTTTCCGTTTGGTTGGAGCCTCCAGCTCACCCTTGCGTGATCCAGAAAGCCCCATTCCTGTTTTTCTCTCCAAACCCCACCCACTCAGACTCTGAAGAAAGGAAAGGCGCCAAAAACACCAGTGTCATATTCTTGGTGGCTACTGCAGCTTCCTCACCTGAAGCTGCCAGCTGCCCAACTCCCACCTAAAGTGCTCAGCTTTTTGTTTTGGTTTTGGTTTTGGTTTTTCAAGACAGGGTTTCTCTGTAGCTTGGGCACCTGTCCTGGAACTAGCTCTTGTAGACCAGGTTGGCCTGGAACTCCCAGAGATCTGCCTGCCTCTGCCTGCTGAGTGCTGGGATTAAAAACATGCGGCACCATCGCCCGGCTAAAGTGCTCAGTTTTTGATCATACTTGAGCACAAACCCAGCCTGTGACAGACACGTCATCACCACTCACCTACAACTTCTAAAATCTCCCTGTTATTGTTTGTGGGTGCAGCTTCTCCGGCCTAGATCTCTGGGAGTAGAGAACCAGCCTGGAGTTGCTTTGCTTAAGCAAGCCTGCTGGTATACTTTTACAGTTTGGCTTGGTCTGGCTTACTGCATCATCATGGAAACCTATGGAGGGGGGAGGAAGAGGGGCAGGCAGAAAACCTACTGGGGTGTGCCACCGTACAGAACTTAGAGAAGAACATTTTTATTTTATAGAAAAAGTATGGCTCTCAAGCTGACCAAGCATTGAAATAAAAAGACAGTAAATGCTCAGAATCTTTGTAAATTGTAGAACAACTCATCTCAGGTTTGTGGAAAGAACTAACTGGGTCACTTGATAGGCCTAGAAAAATTGTAGATAGATGAGGGGCTTAGACATGAAGTTCCTGTTAAACTAAAAGGTCTAAATGTTAGCCCCTAGTAAAGGATCCCCAGTATACCCATCACTACTACGGGGAGAAGGAGAGCCCAAGTGTCGACTTTCCGGGTCGGCCATTCTATCCCCTTGGTCGGAAGCAGCAGCTGAGGCTAGGGTGTCACTCACAGCCTTGGCCTCTGATCGCAGCGCAGCTCGGTTGTTCATTGCTGGGAAATAAACACTCTGGATAAGAGAGTGCAAAAGGGACACTGGGAAGAAAGAACGCGGGAAGAAAACCTGCTCTTGCCTCTGTCACTTCCCTGAAATTTCCTAAAAGCCCGGTTCTTCTTCATTCTTTCTTTAAAAGCAAGAGAACACTGTCATCTCATAGGTCAGCGAGACAGAACATTGGTGAGAAGGTATCTCCTGTTCAAGGATGCAGGCCATCTCCGGGAGAGCTGGGGACAGAGAACTTTGGCAAAGGTATCAGAGCTCACTGGTAAGCAAACTGATTTTTAATATTTTCAGGCCCTACTCCGATGGTATCATTTCAGATCCTCAGTTAGGATGATCTATTGCTAAGCTGTCATAGACGTGTTTGCTTTGTTTTGTTTTTAAAGTGATTAACGCGGCCCCTGAATGCCGGGGATTGTGAGGACTATCTTTCTGAAACACTGAACAAACACTCCATCTCCGCAGGCCTTCCTGAACAAAGTTAATGATTATGCCATCCAGGGGGAGGGGGCTCTTACCTATTTCTAAAGTACCTGTTTCTTTCTTTGTAAGTTTACACCGGTTTAACATTCACATTCTGAGAAATGAGCCTTCATCAGAGGTTTTTCGTCCCAGGCAGTCGGCGCCTGTGGGGATGGCGCATGCCCGGTGAGTATCCTCCGCCACAATCTTCTTCTGCTTCATTTTGTTCAAACAGAATTTGAAAGCGCTCAGAAACTTGGGTCACTTTGAAAACTTTTAGTCCACCAGAGAATTTTTCAGGAGTCTTTAATAAAAATAGCCTGTTGAAAGGCACAGAGCTCAAGAGAGCGAGGCTCTGGAGGTGAGACGGCCATGTGGCGACGCCTTTTGCTCACAAAATGGAACCGGGTTGTGCTCACAGCTTTGTCAGGGTCCAGAGAGTAAACTCGCTTCAAACAGCAGGATGTGACCTGTGGCGGATTGTGAAACAGTAAGCCGTGGACAGATTTTCTCCGAGGACACAAACTAGAACAGCCCCTATCTGTGTGAGTCATGGGATGCACAGCCTTGCTTGATGGAATTTTCCATTCGTGTGCGAGCAGGCAGGTGGGGCGGGAGCAAAGGCAGGGTTTCAGCGCAGGCAAGCGCTCCACTGAGCTACAGTCCCAGTCTTCATCACCTTTCTTTCACCTCAGAAAGCATTATTTTTTGACTGTGGCTGACAGTTAGAAAATACATCAACACTGTGGACCCCAGGTTCTTAAAGGGTTTAGTTGTTGTTGTTTATGATGAGGTTTCTTTCTCTGTAGCTCTGGCTGTTCTGGAACTCGCTCAGTAGACCAGGCTGGCCTTGAACTCGGTGATTCCCCCCCCCCCCTTGAGTTGTGGGAATCACAACCTGGTTGTTCTTAAAGGTTTTAAACTCTTTTACGTTCATGTAGATAAGGAACTCAAGGAAAGAGAAAGAAAGGGTGGACACGGGGAGTAAAGGATAACAGATTATTCATTTGCATTTTGCAAATTGTCTCTGAGGGGAAATTACAAATTTACCTGTCATATAAAACCATGCTTATTTAAAAAAAATCAAGTAACCCTTAAGAGAGTCAAATGTAAAGTCACCTGTCATTCCTACCCCTTAACACAGCTGCCTTTGGCCAAAGAAACCCCTGTATATTTTGTTGCTATTTTCTGGGCTCACAGACAAAAGTATACAGTAGACAGATGTGAACAGGCTTGACCCAGGAGCGCAAGCCAAGGGTACGACTGACTATGGTGCTGTCAGTTCAGGGTGTTTAGGCACACTTTTATGTTCATTCTTTACTTGCTGCAGGATATTACACGGCAGAGGCTGGTATTCACTGGTTCAGCAATTCCCTCATTTATGTGCATTTATGTTTCCTAAATTTTAGGAATGCTTCTGCATACACTCTCACACATGGCTCTTTGGACATTTGTATGACTCTCTCTTTATGCTGCATGACTACAGTTAGAACAAGGAAGACACATTTTAAATACTGCACAACTGGGGCTGGAGAGATGGCTCAGAGGTTAAGTAGAGCATTGTCTGCTCTTCCAAAGGTTCTGAGTTCAATTCCTAGCAACCACATGGTGGCTCACAACCATCTGTAATGAGGTCTGGTGCCCTCTTCTGGACTTCAGGCATACATGCAGACAGAATATTGTATACATAATAAATAAATTTTTTTAAAAAAAAATAAATACTGCACAACTGCCAAATTGTCCACATAAAAACATTATCAGCTGGGCGGTGGTGGCACACACCTTTAATCCCAGCACTTGGGAGGCAGAGGCAGGAGAATCTCTGCAAATTCAAGGCTGGCCTGGTCTATAGAGAGAATTCCAGGACAGGCTCCAAAGCTACAGAGAAATCCTATTTCGGAAAAAAAAAAATCAACTTATACTTCCAACAATGACTGAAAATGACCATTTCCTCATATTATCTCCAGAACTAATTCTTTAATATCTGTCATTTAAACATTTTGATAAACCTTCCTGATTTCATAATGTTTCCCCTAGATATTTCTTATAGCTATTACAAACAAGGATCTATTATCTCCACACATTCTAGGCTTGCTTCTACATTCAGAACCATTCCATGGTGGTGCACTGGCTTGCACAGCTTCCCGACTGGCTTTCCTCATGGATGAACAGCCTGCCAGCAGAACAGCTTCGCTTTCTGTCTTTTCCCCAAAGTCCTTATTTCTCACAAACTGAATCTTGTCCATTTTCTGTCCACTCCCCTATGTTATGGACAGGGTCACACTACATCACTCTGGCTGGCCTGGAACTCACTCTGTAGACCAGGCTAACCTCAGACTCGCAGAGATCTACCTGCCTTTGCCTCCTGAGTGCTGGGATTAAAGATGTGCATCACCAGGCCCAGAGCTGTCCATTTTCCATCACGTATACTTTTAGAGCTGTTTATGTCTTTCAAGTTAGTGAGAGTTCTTCAATGTCTGTGTGCTGTAGGTTCCGGAGTCCCAGTCAAGCTAGAGAGGCTAAGCTGCGGGCTTCCTCCTAGATCCTTAAGGATGCTGAAGAGTTAACATTTGCTAAATGCTCTTCAGCAAGTGATGACTGTGGATCCTTAATGTGGTAATTCAGTGAGCGTGGCTAATTTAACATACACATTATTTGCTATACAGTAGGACTCCAATCTGGAGAGTTTTTTTCTGGGCTTTTCCTTCTATTTGTTTGTTTTTGTCTTTCAAGACAGGGTTTTTCTGTCCTAGAACATGCTCTGTAGACCAGGCTGGCCTTAAAATCACACAGATCCACCTGCCTCTGCCTCCTGAGTACTGGGATTAAAGGTATGAACTACCACTGCCTGGTTCCTTTTTTTCCTTTTAATATACATCAAGTCAGTTTTCTATATTTCATTCATTAAGTCTTATGACTTGTATTTCTTAAGTCATATTTCTTTGAGTCCTTCAATTTTACTGCAACAAAGTTAGACAATTATATTTATACTAAATTATAAATAATACTCTCCTGCAATTCAAAATGCCAGTGTTTTATTTTTAAATGTTTTAAATCCTTATTTCGAATGTAAGCTTTGTTGTTGCTAATTGTTTCTTGCTATTTTTATTTATATTCACTAAGGGCTTGTTTTTGAAAAGAAAATTAATTACATTAATGTGTTGATATCTTATTTGTATTCTAACACAAAAAGCTTGCCTAAAGGTCAGAGGGCAGAGCTAGCGACTAGTTAACCATAAAGGTCTGGAGGTCTGACAGACAGATAAGAGATGATATGGCTGGGCAGAGAGAAGAATATAAGGTGGGAAGGAGACAGGAGCTCAGTCCTTTTTCAGCTGAGGACTTAACAAGGTAAGAGTTGGCTGTGGCTTGCTCCTTTCTCTCTCAGATGTTTCGGCATTTGCCCTGATATCTGGCTCCAAGTTTTTATTTAGAGCAATTAGAAATTATGCAACATATTTTATTTTTTGTGTGTGCACAGTTCACACGTGTTCACTCATGGGGGGTCAGAGGACAACTTGTAGGAGTTCGTTGTCTCCTATCATGTGAGTCCCAGGTCATTAGGCTTGGTGGCAAATGCCTTTACCTTACGGTGACATTTCACTGGGCTCCAAGGCTTTGTCTTTTAATTTTTAAAAATACTTTTAGTTTGATATAATTTACTTTTATTAATTTCTCCACTCTACATTCTTTTTAAAATAATTTTTAAGATTATATTTATTTATTTTGTATGTGGGGTGTCTGTGCTGATCATAGGAATACTTGCATGCATAGATCAGGGGAACACTTGCAGAAGTAAGTTCTCTCCATCCCATTCAAAATCAGGTTATCAGTTTGGGTACTATACCCAGCAAAGCTATCTGCCACAGTAGAAGGAGAAATAAAATTCCCCGTGGCACAAAAAGCCTGAACACTTCATGCCCACAAAACAACCCTAAAGAGAATACTGGGTGCAATACTTTGAATTGGAGAGAAAGAGAAATGAGAGACTCTTAAAAGAAACCAAATAAAGCTATAGTTAAAAAAATATAAAGCACAAACAAGAACATAAACAGCAAAAAAATGGTGGCAATCAACTCCTATTTTTTAATAACTTTAAATATTAATGGCTTCAACTCTCTAGTTAAAAGACATAGGCTAGTTGAATATATCAATATCAATGAACAAAATCCATCTTTCTTTTGTCTACAAGAAACTCGGCTTTAAAGATAAGTGCACCTTAAAGTGAAAGGATGGGAAAAGTATTCCAAGCACATAAAACCAGGGAGCAAGCAGGTGTTGCTAGCCCACCATCCAACAAATACAGACTTTAAACTAAAAGTAAGAGAGAGAGGGCATTTCATTCTAATGAAGGGAACAATTAATCAAGAAAAAATTATTAGCCTGAACATTTATGCACAAAACTCTGATGCACACAATTTCATTAATTCTGGAATTAAAGCACAGATTAACACCAACCCAATAATAGCCAGTGATTTAAATGCCCCACTCTCTCCAATAGGCAAGTCATCCACACAAAAAGCAAACAGAAACATCAAAATTAATTAATATCAGACATCAAATGGATATAACAGACATCTACAGAATATTCTACCCAAGCACCAAAGAGTACACATTCTACTCAACAACCCATGAAAGCCTCTCTAAAATAGGCCATGTGTTGGGACACAAATCAAACCGTAACAAATTCAGAAAAAGCTAAATAATTCCATAACTACTACCTGAGCATTATGTGATAAAACAAAACTGGCAGAAAACAAATCTCTAGTAAGTGCATAAACTCGTTACTGCATGATGATGAGATCCAAGAAGAAACCGAGAAAGAAGCTAAAATCCCCTGGAACTAAAGGAAAATCAACACAGTAACACAGCAAAACCTCTGCTACAGGGGCTAGAGAGATGGCTAAGGAGTTAAAAGTACTATATACTCGTCCAGAGGACCCAGGATCAGTTCCCATCACCCACACGGAGGTTTACAAACATCCCTATCTCCGGATCTAGAGGATCCGGTGCCCTATTCTGGCCTCTGTGAGCACTGCACGCATGCTATGTACAGACATAAGCAGGCAAAACTCTCATAGAGATAAAATAAAAATAAATCTATTAATAATCCTCTAGAACATACTGAAAGCACTTCTATAAAAGTGCTTCTATAAAGCACTATATATAAAGGAAAATTTATATCC